TTCCTACTATTATTAGTTGATGGAAAGAACAAGGAAGAGCCTTATGAGCCCAAGAATAGGCTCCGTGTGAGATAAGCTGTGAGAAGTTGTCATGTACTTAACGATGAGGGGACACATTTGTCCAGTTCTATTGCACTTACGTGTGTCTCTCACTTTGGCATTGGGAAGAGAATCTGCATAGGAAAGCGGGCCACACACAGGCTTTGCACTAACCTAACTGGAGATGTATAGCACTGGCACAGGCAGAAAGTCTGCCAGGGATCTCACAGGCAGCGGTTGCTTCTTGAAGAGATCATACAAACTCAGCCCTCCTGGGTGCCTAGAGCAGGGACAGCTTTCCTGCAGTGGGTAGAGCAGACCCTGGGTGTTCAGCAAGCACATTCTCCACATTTTCCTGTGCAATCCCAGTGTCAACTACTTTATGTCCCCTGCCTCACAAATTATTGAAACACATTCCAGAAATGCCAAAGTGTCCACTCACTAACACCTCTCCGACAGCCTTTTCAGCCCAGATGAGCACGAGAATCCAGCATCAGACCGCAGCCCCCATCTGATACCTAGGAATGTAGGGTCTTTGTGCCCACAGAGCCAAAAAGCAATGCTGCTGGGCTCTCCACAAAGCTAGTGGAGAGGACGCCTGTCGTGACAGTAAGGACACTGTTCTCTCAGCTCTCACGTTGGGGACTGTCTGCATGGTGTCAGTGGTAGCTGGAAGCTACTACTTATAGGTAGTTTAAAGTGGTTCAGGACAGACCAGCAAGGGGACAAATTCCTTGAGAGGCGTCACTAGGGCTCAATTCAGAGAACTTGGTCCAGCTGGAACTTGGTGAAAACTCCGGCCATTAGGGAGTAGTCAGAGAGCAGGTACACCTTTGTGAAGAAGGTGCCAGGGTTAAGCTGTTAAGGACAAAAGTGAGGTGTACTCTGGGCTTTTTTGCTGAGAACTATAACTGAGGTCTGCCCACCTCTGAAAGCTGCATTCATCATTCCAGCCCTGTGGTTTCTTGGTATCTTGTCCATCCGTACTCCCCTTGTTTCTACAGAGGTGCTTTCAGTTCCTACTGCATCCCTGGCTCTGTGAGCAGCAGTGGAATAAAAGTCTCTGGTTTATTTAGTCCACTGGGGAGAAAGACAAAAAGCAACAGGAAGGTTGGGTGGGTGCTATCTTGGAGAAGGCGCAGGTTAACATGGAAGCCTAAAGAGGGAGACAATCACTACGTCATGCACAGTATCCATAAGGAAGCTCAGTGGAGTTGGGGGAGGGGTTCGAAGCCGGAGAAGACAGAAATGAGGCAGCAGAGTTTAGGGACCTTCGCAGATCATCAGAGAGCACAGAGTATGTGGGAAGTGGCCAAAGCCCCCTTTGGTAAAAGTGACAGAACAGAGATGAGTTCATAGTTAAGCAGTTTACAGGAGCTGTACTGTGGTGGGGACACTGTTCTGAAGGTGGAGGAGACAGGGGGCCTGAACAATGGTGACAGTCTCCAGAGGAGGGAGCAGGGAGAGCCATCTAGGCAGAACAGACAGGGTGTGCTCAAGAGAGGATGAGGGAGGAAGTCAGCGCCATAGCGTGAGAAATGCTGTAACCAAAAATGGTTCCCAGAGCTCCAGCACCTGGGAGATGAAGAGAGGAAGGAGTCCAGCATCAGTAAGTCAAGGGACAGGGAAGTCCCGAAGAAGGAGCAGTGCTTTGTGTCACACACAGCGTGGAAGAGGGAACAGAAGAAATATGGCGGAGTTAGAGACTGAAAGCACCACACTAAGACGTCATCCTGTGAAGGGAAGGAGAGAGGTAGCCATGGAACTATGGGGCGATGATAAAATCAAGGAAAGACGCTTTTTAGAAAAGGTTTTCTTTTAAAATATGAGGCTCTACAGAGCATATATGGGGGCAGGGTAAAGGGAAATCGATGGTGATGGAAACTAAAGAAGGGCAAGGAAACTGGTAAAGGAATATTTCTGAGAAGAGAAGAGATCAGAAACGTAAGGTAGAGACCACAGGTTAGAGTGGCATTTATAGGCATGAGAGAGAGTCCTTGCTGTGGCTTGTGTCTAGATGTCCCCCCAAAGCCTCATGTGCTCTTAGGTGGGGCTTTTCAGCTGTGGCTGCTTTTCCAGAGTATACGATACTGGGATTAAGTGTGTGATGCTGAGATCCAGGCTGTGTGATTACTGAATTAGTCCACTGATTGGTCTGGCATGGTTCTGGGTGTGGATAATGGGAAGGCCCTCGTGGGTGGGAGTGCTCCCACCCTAATGGTGTGTAGCCTGGATAGAACATAAGGGACAGAAGAAGGGCTGCTATTGTCCCTTACTGCTTGCTGCTTTTCTTGCCATGAATTTCTTTTTTTTTCCCTCTGTGATGCCTCTCTACCTTGCCATCCTGCCTTGGAGCCAATCTCTACAAACCATGAGCCAAAGTAAATCTTTCCTCCTTTAACTCTAAGTGTCAGATATTTTGTTTCAGTAATGAGAAAAGTAACTAAAACAGTCCTTAAATGCCCTCAGGAAAACCCCAAATGGAGCAAGTCCCCAGGAGCACACTCCCCAGGAGTGTGAGGTGCCAGCCCAGGGCCGTGAGACGGGCATGGTGCGGGAGTGCAGCACGCAGTGGAGCACATCTGGCCTTACCACCCGAGCAGGCTCAGTGCCCTGTGCCTACCTCCCATGCCGCTTCCTCCATGTCTGCCTTTTTCTGGTGTCATCGCTAAAACAACCAACTCAACAGAAGCAGCAAGTGAAGCTGCAGGAAAAATATCCTTGTTATGAATGACAAGAGTCTGCCCCACGAGAATCTGGGTTTGTAATAGTCATGTAAAGGGTAGGAGTGTCTCCTGAGAAGCATGCCATGAACTCAACTTGGGATATGTACCTCGCTGATTGGAAATGCACATTTTCTCAATGTCACAGTACTAATGTGTTAATAGTGATGCATTGAGGAGCCAGATTTAAATGCAGAAAGGGCTGAGATCAGTTTTTCTTGAAGTAGACACAAACACTTCCATAGATGTCTTAGTAGAGAGTGGAATGAGTGCTCACTGGTCAAAGTGCTGCAGGTTTTTAGACACCTTTGGCAATCTCACTCCACCAAGATCATTTCTTTTATGTCGGTATTACAATATTTTGTGATTGTTACCACAAAGCCAGCGGTCATAGAAAAGCTAGTTAAGGGCTGGGTGGTAACTCAGTGGTAGAGGAACTGCCTAGCCCATGAAAGGCCCTAAATTCCATTTCTAGTACCTCAGGAACAAGACACAATTTAAAAACATACTGCTTATCCTGAAGGGCTGCAGTGCTATCAGTGTGAGTGGAATAAACATCATTGAGATACAGTGCTAACTTTTTTTATCTGGGCTGGAGGTACAGTTCATACCATGGATGAGGCCCTGGGGTAAATCTCCTCCCTAGCACTAGGGGAAAAAAAAATCTGGTGCTCGGCTGTAGCAGTCACTTGAGTGAGAAGAATCGAATGGAGGGAGCGCCAGCAATGTAACACGGCCATTGCCCTCCACGGACCCCACATCAGAGAAGGTTCCGTGCGGGCTGCCAACAGCACAGGCGAGGCCGGCCCTCAGTGTGATGGAGGGTAGGGGTGCTCCTGTTCCTCGGGCAAGAGAGGCCCAAGTCACTTTCTTAACCACTTTTCTCATGGCAGGAAAGCAGTTACTGAGCAGGGAGCCAAGCTCGCCAGGCTTCCCCAGACACCCGCAAGGAGGAAAAGAAGGGGCCAGCGAAGGAACCCTGGAAAGCAGGGCTGCCTTTCTCCGGCCAGGCTGTGCGGGAAGTGCATATGTGCGGCTGCTGCAAAGAGACAAAATGATCGCAGATATCAAACGCTGCTTTCTAGCAACAGCCTGCCTTTTTGCTAATGTGTATTTTTCCCTAAGGGTCATAATAACACCTTTAAAAAGGTTTTCAGATACTATCAGCCACGGTGACTGAGATGCCTGAGTTAAAAAGCTATGTCTCCTTCATAATTCTAAATTTCCGTGTGACAGCTAAGCTCATGCTTTTATTTTTGGTTTGTTTTTAGATTGAAATCCTCAAGTTGCCTTAAAACTCCCCATAAAAAGAATCTCATATGTAATAATTTATGAAAAGCGGCTCTTCTAAGTGGTCTGGCACCTTGGAAGGCATTTTCAAGCTTTAAGCTGAGTTTCTGCTGCTGTCTTTGCATCCTAATTCACACTGGTCCAAGATGGGAAATTGCACAATTAGCAAACAGGTGGCTGAGCTCCTTCCCCGAGGCTGAAAGTGTCCGAAGCCACAGGGGCAGGGCCACTGTGCAGCTCCTCTCTCTCTCTGGTTTCCTTCCCTTGAACAGCTGAGCAGGGAAAATTGAATAGAGAATGGACTGAAAGGGAAAAGCATGTTCAGGACTGCAACATGATTTAATCGAACCACGGCCTTGATTTTCACAGCTAATCTCATGAAGTCCCTGTCTTCAGAGTCTCAAAGCAGTTTAGCTTTATCCAAGCAGAGCCAGTGACCCAGGTGGAACTGGGTCTGTACATGACTTGTAAATGAGTTTATAACACAAAGCCTGTCATAATATTTCCATTGATTCACGCATTCTCTCACCAAGTAATGTCTAAGTACCTACTACCGGCAGACGGTAGGGAGGGAGGTGTCAAAGCCATGAGACTTCTGTGCCCAAATGGGGCACCACTGAGCAGGCACAGACTGGTGCGCCCCAGCTCAGTAGCAAGGTAGGTTCCCACAAGGAGGGCGCCCTGAGAAAAGAAAAGTGCACAGGGAAACCCCCGCCCAGTTTACGCTGGCACGGCTGTGCCTCCCTCCTCCTGGGCAGCTGTCAGAGGCGGGCGCCAGAACCGCCCGGGTCAAGGCTCACGCAACTTCTGCTTGCAGAATTAAAGTTAGGGGCTGGGTGAGAGCGGGAAGGGACGGGCGCGGGGAACTGAGGAGAAGGCAGCGACCACCTGGCCAGGGCCAGGGCGGACTGCGGGGCAGAGCAGTCACCTGCGTTCACCTGCGCTCACCTGCGTTCCGGAGCCTGCGGTTCGTGAGCACCGAGAGGACGACCAGGAGGTTGCCCACCACGTCCACGGCGGTGGTGACGACGAGCACGGCGGCCAGCGAGGGAGCCACCCAGGGCGGCCGGGGGCGCGCGGAGGAGCCCTCGCAGCAGTTGAAGGAGCTGTTTTCGGGCATCGCGGCGCCGGGCGCCGGGCACCGGTCACCGCGCTGCGGGGCGGCTGCGGGCGCTCAGGGCTGAGCCGCGCTGCGTCCGGGGAGGGAGCGCTGTGAGCGGGGAGCTGCTGGAGATGACCCAGCGCGCACGGGGCGGAGACACACCGACCAGAGTGGGACGGGGAGCAGACGTGAGGAGTGCGTCCCTAAGCGGCGCTCTGGGGAACAGCCGGACCACACAGCGAGCTCTGCTGCCCAGAGCTCAGCGCGAACGTGGCTGTCCCTGCTCAGGCTGCCTAGAGTGCCTGGCTTCCTTCCCTGAGGGCAAGGCCATTCCCAAGACCCCCTGATTTCCTCCGCAGCTGCAGGAAGCTGTGCCCAGGCAGGGATGCCTGGGCTTTCCTCTGGTGGTGGAGATCAGTGTCAGAAGGGCACATCTGAGGCCCCGTGACAGCGGGCTCCTGTGTGAAGACAGACTCCAAACTCTAGTTAGTTGCAGAAAAGAAAATCGTGTCCATTTATTGCACACTCGTGTGGTTGGGGAGCCTGACGAGTCTGCAGAAAGCCAGTGGTCCAGTAAATTCACCATGTATTTAAACAGAATGCTTAATAATACTAAGTAGATGTGTGGTTAACACAGGGCTGTGGTATGATGTGAGGCTTCTGGGCGGAGAACTAAGAAAGGAGTGAGGTGTGAACACAGGAAGTAAGGAGCTCGGTGTCTTCATTCACAGTGTCCCAGCGCCTGCTCAGGGAGTCATAATAACAACTCTGGGAGGCAAATTTTATGCTAAGCGCTGTCCTCATCACTTTTTATACCCAATAGAACTACGGAAATCAAAGTGATTGGTAATCTTGAATTTGTCCAGGAGGTGAAACAAATGAAACTCTTACACTGTATTTATGAGAAAGCACAATGGTACAGCCACTTAGAAGAGCGATCTGTTCGTTCTTTATGAAGTTAAAATACCTACTGCAAGCGTATGCCTATCAAATACCTATTACAAGGATATAAAAAATGAAATGAAAATGCATCTCCAGAAAAATACTTGTACAAGAATGCCTAGAGCAACCTTATTTATAATAGCACAACCTGGAAACAACCCAAATCTCCAAGAACAAAAATATAGATAAGCATATGGTGAATCAGTGCAATGGAGTAAACTCAGCAGTAAAAACCGATAAACACAGCAGCATGGATTACTCTAAAAAATACAATATTCATCAAAAGAAGCCAGATAGCAAAGGTTGCATACTATGAAGACAGAAATCAGAACAGTCATTTTCAGCGGGGATGGTAATTGATTGGAAAAGAGCACAAAGTAAATTCTATAGTGTCATTTTTATAAGTAATATTTTATGTAATTTATATGGTCCCCCAAAATAACGTAAAGGAAAGATAGAGCAGGGGAGGGGGACTGACAGTGTATGGACTGACAATGGCAGGGCCAGTGCCTGGAGTGGTGTGTCCATCCAGAGTCCAAGGGGGTGATACTATCTTGAGGGGAGGGAGACTTTCTCCCTCACAGCAGAAGAAAGCAGAGGTACAAATTTTGAATTGCTTCTAGACAGGTGGGAGGAGATAAGCACATTCCTCCAGTTTCTGTGTTCTCCAGGAGTTTGAAGACACCTCATTTACTCCATGGGAAGAGAGTGTGGGAGGTTTGAAGACAGGAGAAGGTATGAAATGTCACTGCAGAAACTGAATAGATTCACTAGGAGAACATAGCAGGTGTGTGGGGAGAGTAATTGTCTCTGCAGAATTTTAGACAAACCCAGGCAGCCTGGTGGGCGGTTGTTAATCAGCAACTTGGAACTGTTCAGGATGGGCAAGAAGACAGCGCGAACTTGTCATGACTGGGGCTGGCAAGGTTGGGGAACATAACAAAGTGTAAGGGTCTGACAGAAAAATGGACTCTGTCACCAAAGTTAAGTGAGTGGTGAGAAAGCAGAGGAGCGGAGAGATGTGAGAGAGAGATAAAGTGAAGGGGCTGGAGGTCCTGCAAATGCTCAGAATTGAAAGAGTCAATTAGGAAAAATAAGTTGTGATCTGGAAAGACGGAGTTGTTTGAAATTGAGTGGGTCTGTCGGTGTGTCTGTCTGTCTGTCTGTGGTGGTGCTGGGAATTGAACACAGAGCTTGTGCCTGCTAAGCAAGCACACACTGTTCCACTGGGCTCCGCCCCAGATGGAAACCAGGCTCTCTGAGGGTGCAGACTCAGTTGCTTGAAGGATCCAACAGTAGATATCAGAGTGCGCTGCTGGGAGAAGGTGGAGCGAACTGAGGAGTCAGGGGTGGGAGTTATGGTGGGGGACAGGAAGAGTTACCTTCAGCGGTAAATCTCCATCTAGGAGGAGGCTGAACCAACTGGTCCATTGCAGAGAGCCGGGAAGTGGAGATGCAGACACATGTGGAAGGTTGAAGGCCCAGGGCTTTCTCAGGAAGAAGGGACAGGCTCTCTCCATCTTACATTCGCAAACGTACAGTGGGACTTCTCTGACTTTCCACAGCCCTCACAGCATTAGAGTTGAATACAGTCTCTAAATCACCTCAGTCCAGGCACACATTTGTTCAGCTGACCACGAAGCAGAGGAATTTCCCTGTGCTGCTCTGAAATATAACCCTCGACATTGCCTGTATCCACAACAGTATATATCAAGGCCCTTGAGCACCAGGAATTAAGATACTATTCTGCCTGCCAAGTCACTGCTGGACCCTCGCACAGTTGGCTGGGCTGTGGTTTCAAGGGGCAGTGCAGTGGCAAAGCCATTTTAAAAGAGTTTAATAGTTTCTTACATACTTAACATACTCTTATCCTGCATCCAAAATTGCATTCCTTAGTATTTGCTCAATTTATTTAAAAACTTATATCTGTGCACAGATTTTATTTTTTGGTACCAGGTATCGAACTCAAAACCTCACACTTGCTGGGGAGGCACTGTGCCACTGAGCTAAATCCCCGGCTCTTATATTTGCACAAAAACTTGCACATAGATGTTCAGCATAGATTTATTTGTAATTGACAAATTTGGAAGTAATCAAAATACCCTTCAATAGGTGAATAAATAAATAAACTGTGACACATCCAGATAGTAGAAAAATTGTTTCTGAAAAGAAATGAGCTCTCAAGCTAGGAAAAGACATGGGGACGTTAGATGCATATTACTAATTGAAAGAAGACAGAAAGAGGTATGTGCGACATGATTCCAACTGTAGGCCATTGTGGAAAATGTAAAACTATAGGGACAGTAAAAAAGAGCAGCAATTTCCAGTAGTGTGGGAGAATGAGGGATGAATAGCCAGCTCACAGAGGAGTTTTATTTTTTAATTTAATTTTATTTTTATTTTAAAGAAAGTAGAAAATGAGAAAGAAACAAACAAAGAAATAGAACAGTAGTAGCACACCAGTATCACGAACATAAACAAATCAAAGCAAGAACATTCAAAGTGATACAGAGTCTCAAGACAAAATAATACAAATCAACAGAGGTTGTTACATTACATATCATATCCTCAACTACATTGCTCAGATTATCAGATGTAAGAATGAAAGATTGCTCGAATCATTAAAGAGAACAAGAAAATAATTCCTCAATAAAGCATTAGAGATAATACCAAGTTTCACTAGACAAGATGGTAGGAGTTAACATTGTAATTCCATTGCATATTGTTACCTTCAAATCAATTACTCAGACCACCAAACACAAGGATGCAAAATCGATCAGAACATAAAAAATTGTAAGCATTAACTGTTCATTTCAATACACCAACAGACATCAGCAATACAGTTATTGTAACTATTCATATATATATTTATATTTTGCCTTCTTTCTTTTTTCTTCTTTCCCTCATCCCAGTCATTCCCTCCTTTGAGTAATTTCTTTCCCTTTCCTATCATCTATTGTATGTTTTGAGTTTTACCTAGTCTTTCAGGTACCTACACCAAGGAGACAACATGATATTTACACAACAGGGTCGGATTTATTTCACTTATGAATATAGTCTCTAGTTGCATCCATTTACCTACAAAAGTCTCGAGATTATCCTTTTTAACAGCTGAGTAATATTCCATTGTATAAAAATACCACATCCTTTTTATCCATTCCTCAGTGGATGGGCATTTGGGTTGTTTCCAAGATTTACCTATAACAAATTGTGCAGCTAGAAACATGGCTGCACGTATATCACTGTCATATGATGTCTTTAATTCTTCTGGGAAAGTACCCAGAAGGGGAATAGCTGGGTTAGACAGGAAGTCCAATCCTGGTTTTGTAAGGAATCTCCAAATTGATTTCCACAGTGGTTTCACCAATCTGTACTCTCACCAGCAGTGGAGTAGGGTTCCTTTCTTCCCACAGTCTCTCCAGCATTTGTTATTGGTTGATTTCTTGATGATAGCCATTATTTCTAGGGTGAGATGGAATCTCAGTGTCATTTTAATTTACATTTCTCGAATGACTAATGATGTTGAACATTTTTTCAAGTATTTATTCACCATTAGTATCACTTCATTAGAGAAGTGTATATTCATCTCATATACCCATTTTTGGATTGGGTCTTTGAATTTGGGAGACCTGATGTTTTTAAATTCTTTATATGTCCTAGATAGAAGTCCTTTGTCTGAGCTGCAGTTGGCTAAAATTTTTTCTCCATTTGTGGGTTTTCTTTTTACTTTATTGGTGATTTCTTTTGATGTGCAAAAACTGTTCAATAAGATGAGATCCCAGTTGTTGATTCTTTGAAGTATTTCCCATGCAGCTTGGTTTTTGTTCATGAACTCTCTGCCAACTCCAATGTTGTAGAGATTTTTACCTAATTTCTCTTCCAATAAATTTAGTGTTTCTGTTTTAATAATTAGATCTTTGATCCATTTTGACTTTAATTTCATGCATGGTGAAAGACATGGGTCTAGTTTTAGTCTTTGGCACATGGAAAGCCAGTTTTTCCAGCACCATTTATTAAAGAGGCTCTCCTCCTTCCAGTGAACATGTCTGGCACCTTTTGTCAAAAATAAGGTGACTGAGTGTGTTTGTAG